CCTTGATAGTCGAAGCAGACTTTGTGCTGTTGAGGCTAGAGAGGAGAGCAAAGTAAGCCTGATTCCCTGTAAGGACTTCTCTATTGGCATCCACCCCTTGGCGCTCATATGACCTTCTGCAATTGCGAGCGCCGTAAAACCTTATTAAAACTAAAACTAAAGTCTCCTCTTTAAAGATCTACACTATGTCCACGGGTGTGTAGCCTTGACAAGCAAGGTCAAAGTAGCCTGCTTCCTCTTTAAACATCTAAACTGCATGTATGTCCATGGTTGTGGAAAACATTCCAATCTATAATCGTACATCATCAATAGAGAAAAAAACAACACAGGATTGGGAGAATACATTAATATATGAGGGGCTGAGATGCGAAACCCACTACATCCATTTTAGCACTTTTGAGAAAATCAGCTTTTTTTAATGCCAAGATGGGTAAATACATTTCTTGGTGGCATTTATGAAGTAGATCTATGTGTTATGCTTTGGCCGAAAACACTTTGTATATCTGATAGCCGGTAACAATGTGCATTTATAAGCAAAAAAACTCGATTTTTTCCAAAATGTTGCTTAGAGGGTTTTGCATCTCGCCTTATACATATTATATTTGTGAAAGTCCGTCACTTTCGCCGCATAAAACTTCCCAACCACTAACTTTCCTTTCGAATTTGACAAAATTAACGGTGGTTCAGGATCATTTAAAGGGTGCACAGTTTTATTGAGGAGTCTGAAGTCACTGTAGCTTAATTTTCAGTTTTTCATTAGTTTCGTTTAGATCTAATCTCAGGAAAGTCCATCTTCTAAGACGCCATTGTAAACAAGTGAAATTTCTGTTCACTAACCGTGCGCACTTTGAAATTCTAGAGTGTACAACTACGAAAGCAAAATAGAGAATCAATCTTTACATCTCTATAATATCTAGACCTTCTAATTTTTTGCATCTCTCAAGATTTATTGCTCCATTCAAGTAGAGTGTAAATATAGTAGGTCAATGACTTTCGCTTGACGTTAATACAGCGACCATTCCTTTCATCGAAAGGGGGTCCAGCTAGTTTATAATATTTATATATACAATATTTTAAACCCACAGAGCTCTTTTCACAATGCGCTAAGAAAACAGTCCTTTGTGACTTGTCATTATATTTTAGCACAGGGATTAATTCTGCTGTGATTCTTCAAATAAACTGAAAAATGTACAGTACTCCAATTCATGTGACTAAACATCATTCAAGATATGATGAAAAAATTAATCTCCAAATAGTAATACATGTAAATAAACAGACCGCATTCTCGTAGTTAGAACGATGTTTACCATTTTAGAAAACTCTTGAGTGACATAAATTTCTGTGCCTTTAGAGTGACAAAATGAGTCTCCTTTTTAAAATGAGCATACAAGTCGAAAAGAGTATGGAAACAGAATTTGCATTGCCATTTTCTTTGATGAGACTCCTAGTCCAGTAGCAGATGACCAAATAACTGCCCGCTCTGAATCTCAAAGCATGACCAAAGTAAGGTGTACAATTTCCCAATCAACAATGGGTACACTATCATGTCCCCATACAGATCATTCAAAGGAAAGGTGTAGCTTCAGCAAAATGAAAAGAATTCAGACTTTTTGTCTTCAGTCTAGCTTAACTAAACATACCTTGCATTACTATATAAGATTTTTAAAAAGACAGTTTAAAAAGCCAAAACTCATTCAAGACTCGTAACACATCAGAATGAAATGATTACTTTTAATCATATTATGCATGAATCACAGGAGGGGAAAGTGTGTGTGTGTGTGTGTGTGGGGGGGGGGGGGGGGGGTGGAGGTTATACCATGATCTCAAATTAAAAAACAAAACATGATATACATGTTAACAACAATCAAACACATTACATACCGCAGTGAAAACTATCTCATGTTTGAAAAATGCCATTTCAAATAACAAACTCTTGTCGGGAAAAATATACCTTGAACAGGGGAAGTACTGTAAAACATAAGTACACTAAATAAATGTGTTGTGCTCAACTTTTTTGGTATAATATAAGCCTATTCTTAAGCTACTGAATTGGCAGAGCCTTTGAAATAACATCCATTTTGGACATGCTGCATTGGGAGGGGGGGGGGGGGTGTTGCAAGCTGTTAACAGTCTGCCTTGGACGTGACATGAAAAAAATGGGCCACAAAAGGAACATTCCAGGTTCTCAAATTTTTCGTAAAGCCCTCTCAGTCTCACTAAAGCCAACATTAAAATCAGTCATGAGCTCTCTTTTTGAAAACAACCACCACATATCCCATATCCCTTGTTAAGTTTTACCAGCTGTTCTCAAAGCTCCAATAAGAACAGTGGAGAGACATCTCTCAAAACACCTTACTTAAAGAAGCCAGTCGTGTCTACGAAAGGCCAATAATGTTTGATGAGGCAAGATGCACATTTAAAGATGATACTACATGATACTGCAGTGTTCATAGACTGTCAATCCAAACCTATTTGCCAACAGCAGCAATCAAAGATAATAAAACTCCTTTCCTTTTGTTGTTAGTGGTTATTTTCTTACATATATATATATAACTTCACATACATTAGGTTCACCATTCCCTTTTTAAGCATTCGAAATCCTCAAAGCAGAGCAAGCAGAAGGTTGACGACAATTACCAAACATCTTTAGTCAAACACATCAGAAAAATCAATTCCTTCAGGGTGGTTTGTTTTTAACCAGAGACTTCACCTAAGTATCGAAATTTCATCAAAGTCCACAGACAATCCACAAAGCTGTATCTGTGACTGGCTATTTGTATAAAATATGGCAACAATTAAAAATAAAATTCTTTGCGTTTTTTTTTCTTTGCTTTCCTTAAGTATTCCAGACAGTGGAAAAGAAGATTTTGGACAAATGTCGCAAACCCTCTGTATGTCAACAGAAAAAAGAAACAAGAGAAAATGGGAACCGTTGTGAACAACAAGGAGCATATCATGTGTATTGCCGTTAGCTGACAAAAAGCCTTTTTTAAAAATTCACAGCAGTTTTGAGATGCAGAGGCTTTTTGTTAGCATAACCATTTAAAAAAGGCGTTCTTTCAAAATTTGAATTCTAATTTATTAAAAGACTAGTTACAGTTTCACTTTGATTTTTTCACACAATTAAGGTAACTCATCAGGCTTTTGACTTAGTAAATTTAAAAAATGTTGTAGCAAAATTGAAAAAAGAAATTTGTCTGCTTACTGCAGTGTAATCTCCTTCATTACATGTGAGATAATCATAATAGTTGCATTTATATACTGAATGTCCAAGCTCTACAGCATGCTCTATGCACTTTACAACTAACATTACCCCCGACAAACTCTAGGACATTCAGAATTCTTGGCTTCCCGGGAAGCATACAGATCTTACAGAGCTTGTGGTTAGAGGGCCACGTTTTTATTTCTCTACATTTGAATTACACCAGGAATTTACCTCCAACATAAAGCTTAACTTTTCATCACATAGCAGTATTAGATTCTCGTCTTTAGCAATAATAATATAATAATAAATATACAATTTAAAGGTTTCGGACTTAAAGGTTTCGGACCAGTCCTATTTTACAAATGAACATGATAACACTAACAATGTCACACAAAAATCCAAACAATATAGACATTTTACATTACAGAAAAAACATGTAAACTCCAGAATTTCAAAACATGCTGATCAAACTTTGTTACATAAAAAACCCAAACAAAAACAAATTCTGAAAATACAGCCCTTCAACAACAATTTTTTTTCTTAAACATTAAAAAAATAAACATTTTCAAAACATTTCTCTTTGGCAAAGTAAAATTGTTTAAAAACTCGACATTGAAAAAAAAGGATCAAAAACAAAGTAGAGCATGAAAAAACCTACAACAAGATTAAAGTTAAACGTCATGGACATGATTTCCTGTACAACACAAAGAGATATAACATCTCAACTTGAGTCGACACTCAAAGAACATAGAATCCCCCAGCCAGCTGTTCAAATGTACTAAGCCCAAAATTCTCAAAATTGTTATTATTGTAGTGTCTTAATCAGTGATATAGTTTGAAGTTGCTAAAGAAATATTTTATCAAAATTCCAATTCTAAGCGTAAAAAAAAGCGAATAAAACCCATGATATAGACTATCTACATTTCACAATATAGAATTACAAAATTCTATCTGCCATTTTTAGCTGTTTTGAGTTACTAAGAACAGGATGTCAGAAACCAAATGGTGTATCTGCTCTATCAAAATCGTCAGATTATTCGGAGTCGTTATCAAGACATTTAAAGAATTGCATTCGTAAAAGCTTAATAACTATGTTGTAAACTAAAAAATTTTTAATGTCAAATTTCTCAAAACTAGGTACTGAGTAGATAGAACTCTGTAATTCTTGGGTAGCGAATTGTTAAAGAATGCAAAGAGTTCTCTCTCCTGAAAAATTTTTACTTTCTAGCCTTTGAACATTTTAACAGCTCGCTGACAACATAATTTTCTTGATGACTCTATTCTTTCAAACGGACCTTTGAAATTTTATACATAGTATTAATGAACAGTAGAGATCCATAGGAAGAAAAAAACCCACGGTGGAGAAGAGGGTAGGCTGAAGCAGGAGACATTTTGTGTCATGACGTAGTAGAATCATGCACTCGTCAATTTTTGGGCGTGTGGAGTTATTGGTATAATCTTGAAGCTTGTTTATTTATCTTGCTTTCTTTGAAAATATTATTTACCTATCTTGAAAAGAAGTTGAGACATCTGCGATTGAAGAAGGTGGGGAAGGTCTTGTATCAGAGATAGCCTATCTATCTATACAACAAGCGAGAAAATTGCCACCAATATTTGATAACTTCTATATCTTGAGAGTTGTTGGAAACTGAAAATGTACATTTTTTTGTGCCTTTGATCAACATTTTTCAGTAAAATCCACACCGAAATGTGTTTATAAATGGCCATAAAAGGTGTTGAGCTAAAAATGTAAAAATTCAACAAAAATAGCGGAAAAAATTCCATTTTCTTTGACTTTGTCCTTTTTAACGAGCGCCTGGTTTCACCACGATGCCTCACATTATATTACTTCTGTCTCAGCAGCTGGGAAGGGGTGGGAGATTGCACGATGCCACTCTTGAGTTACAACACAAAAGGAATCAGAGCTTTTCTGTTCTTGGGATAGTCATCAAATTTTTCCTGATACCACCTGAAACATTAAGCAGATAGATATATAAGCCTGAAGAGAAAGCAAAAATTACATTAATTAAAAACCAATGAAAACTGGGATAATTTACAGGCACAGACAATGTATCATAATACCACTAAAAACTAACAGAGAAGGAAATAAACTACCCAAAAACTAGGAAACAGTAACTCATAGTAATGAAAGTCTGTCTTCAAACAGTAGGAACAAACTGTCAAGAATTGAAGAAATACTCCAACTCGATGTAAACTACATTTCTGTACATTTGTACATAAATTATATCTCTGGAGAACAACACTAACAATATCGCAACAACCCAAAGACTACTGTAATTAAAAATATTGTGTCAAGCTTATAATTAAAAAACACACACGCAAAAACAGCATAGTTCTACATAATAGTACAGTTACTGCATTTTTTTTTCAAACCCTCTATTTTGACTGTTTAAAGGAGTGGGAGGGTCTTCAACGTCAACTGACTCACGATGGCAAAATAAACTGGACACATTTGTTGAAATCATATTATATAAACTCTTAAAATTTTCTCTCTCCCTCTCCCCCCC